TCCGTTTTTTTTTTTTTTTGCTTTGGCTTGGGGCACTTTGCCATAATACATTGATTGATACCATTATAAACAAAACTGATGAAGCTAAAAGAAACAAAGATGTGTGGGACAAATAGCAAAACTAGGAGAATGGGAAAAAAAAAGTGACGTAGAACATGCTGAAGAATAACTAAAAACCATAAATATTTACCTCACGTGTGAAAGAAGAATCATACCAAAACAAATAAATAAATAAATAATAGAATACTTGAAGATAATGTAGTAAAAAATATATTTTTTACTAATACGCGCATAAATATGTCAAGTCAGAAAACGACAAAGAAAAAAAAAAGAAAATTTTGATAAATTACCTAAGAAAGAAAGTCTCCTTCCGGAGATAATAATTATCAAAACAAAGAACCGTTTAAGCGCTCCAAAGCATTTCTTTTTAAAAGAATGTGTAAAGCATTCCCTGGTGATATGTCCCAACAGCCTATGATGTTAATGGTTCGGTAAGTACACTTGGAAAATTATAATTATTTCTAGGGCAGATTTTCCTATACGCCAACCAAGAGTAAGCCGAAAGCGAATGCCTAGCTTGTAATGTCCAAATGTCTTCAACTTTAGCAGATAGTAAAGGTATACAATACGAGACTTCACAATTGTTTAAATACACTTAAAAAGCATAAGATTGTAATTTTTTTTAGCTATGGATTATGTGAAGAAAAATTGAGATGGGTATAGAAAATTTTCATAACAATCTTTCTTGGAAGACTTACCCTCTTAAGGAATCATTACTTTAAGAAACACCTAGAAATAAGAATAAAGGATAAGAGCACATTTTATCCATGAAGTACAATGTTGTTGAATTAAAATCATATAAAGAAGAGTAACATAGTTCTTAAGTTAGAGCTGAGAGCAACCAAGGTCTTCTGCTTCCACAAAACACACACTAGATCATCATCAGAATCAAGAAACCTAATATTCCTAATTGTGTGAGTATGAAAGCATTCGTTCTATCCGTTACTCTGAAAGTGCCACTTATTTAAGTTAAGCTAGCCATTTGTGCCAGATATAGGACTTTTTATGCAAGTTACTAAGCCACCGAGTGTTGCAACAAATTGACTATATGCGATCATACTGATATTTTAATAAAAAAGAAGAAAATGTTCCCCCTGTTCCCATATCATTGTTCCATCATAATAATAAACTCGACAAAATATAATAATAGGGGAATTAACACTGAAACAAAAGCTAATATTATATATAATTTTGTCAGAAAACATCTATTCCAAAAAGAATCTCAATTTCTCATTAAACATAAACCTCAAATTATGCTCACAAGGGACAGATACCAATATGCCAACGATGATGTAGATTTTGGGAATATTCCAAAGTATAAAAAAAAAACAGAGACCACCAATTTGATGTCAATGAAAATCAAGAAACTATCGCAGTTAACACACGTGAAATAACAACATGAACAATAGTTCTATCCCATCCAAGTGTAAGTGTGCCCATGTGGCACATTGAAATTTAAGGACATTCAATTCACCTTCTACAAAATGAGAACTGAGAAGAATTGGAACAATAAATTTTGAAAATTTATGCAATAAGATGGCAATGCATCTAGTATATATACTCGTATGCTAATAGAGGGTCTAGATAAGTAAATGAATGATTCATGAACCATGGTTTATGAGCACTCAAATCAGATGCCTTTCTTAAAGCATGAATCTAACAATATTCAGAGCTTATTCACTGGTTTTGGTCTTTGAAAAAACCAGGCACTAACAATATTCAGAGCTTATTCACTGGTTTTGGTCTTTGAAAAAACTAGGCAAAAGTGCTACTTCGGGAACACATTATGAATATCCATGTTACAATATCTACGGTCGTTATCATGAGATTGTATCCTTAAATAGTTGTCACATTGAAGGTCAATAAAACAAAACTCATCTTCAATGTTGAAGTTTATGGTCAAATGTACATGGAAATGTCCCTCACCTCCTACACAAATACTTATTTATTGTATATTAATAAATCAATGCCTCCAATCAGATCTACAATTTATATTGGTAATGATAAAGAACTAATTGTATGGAGACGTATCACTATTCAGCAACCCTATTATTCTTAGGAAATTCAACAAATCATACCAAGTATCTTTCTCAAGCAATCCCAAGAAAAAATGTCCCAGCAAATTCTAATAATCCCTTTCATCTAACAAAATGTATAAGAAAAAGGATAAAGCAAGCATTCTTTGTGTTCCGCTAAGACTGCACTGAAATATGCATGCATGAATTTGCAATTGAATGAAAAGAACCCAGCTTGTTTAAATTTGTCACATACTACCAAGAACAAGCATTTGATGTCAACACTAGAACTTGATGCATAAGCCATATTTTTAGCAAATATCTGCTGGTATATTCAACGAATGGGCAATATATTCATTACTAAAAAGAAGGCCCTTCGCAGATGTGGACTCTATTTGATCTTAAAGCCCTAAATAAGATTTACTTTTGATTTTTTGAGATAGGTGGCTGTCAAACTCAAGATCTTATTGAACCATAGCCTTTCATGCCTAAATCATATATTGCTTTATAAAAGAAGAATCCGTGGTTGATGGTATAACTCATTCTTCTCCTTCAATCAACCAAGTATAGATGCGAAGGTCATAAAAGTGGTTGGAGGTTTGTAGTTATTTTAGCTAGCGTCATATAATAAGTGTTGTTGGTGATAGTTGGAAGTTGAATGCCTTCTCAAGAAGAAATCAATGTTTGTCACTGGAGATGATGACTAGCAAGGTGTTAGACCGCCGAGGTACTGGTGTAAGGATCAAACTTTTCAGATTCTTACCATTTGTGATGAAGAAGGAATGGAGGATGGTGTCATCTTTCCACCTTGCGGACAAGGTGGATCTTTGGGAGGGGAGTATTGTTAGATTGGTCCAGCCGGTCAGACGGGACCGGCTTACGCGAATAGAGGCGGAAACAAAAATGTCCGCCTCCTATACGCATCGAACACACGCCCGGGCGTGCGTGAGCTGTTAGATTTTTTAGGGAGTTAGGAGGGAAATTTGAATGTAGGGACTGTTTAGGGATTTCCTTTTGATTTGTATGCAGTAAATAGTTTGTTTTCCTAGGATTAGGGCATCTTGAATTTGGCTGAAATTTGAGATCTCTTAGGTTTAGGTTTCCTTTGGGCTCTAGTGACGTCTAGAGAATCGGGAGAGAACGATCCTCCTCTCGAATTGAGGATCACTTGTATCTTGTTTGTTTTTCTTCCGTTAGTTGATTTTTCTCAATAAAGTGGGCTATTTTTCTTTGATTTTTCCCCTACTTGTTGAGTATCCTCGCTGATTTTATAAAGAAGGTCATTTGACACAGAACTACATAAGTATGCAAGCTTTCCTAGATCTTCAATGAGTATGGCCAATGAAGAAATCATTCTCAAATTTGAATTAGTAACAAGAAAGAGAGAAAATATAATAGCTTGATAAAGGAGAGAAATCCCAAAATAGTACTTTGATTACTAACAAGTGCCTAATTTAGTCCCAAAGTTTTACACTGCTCTAATGTAGTCTCTCACTGTTGAAAATTAATTCAATTTTCAAAATATTAAAATATGTAAATTATTAGTTAGGGAATTTACAAATTCCAAGAAATATTTCATGTGTTGCATTATGTAACAAGGAAAACATGTGCAATTTTGTGCCAATCGTAGCGATCCACATGCAACTGGACCTTGAGATGAGCAGGTTGAAGCATAATATCATGCTACTAAATTAATGCTACTACGAAGTGAGTCTTTCAATTTTCTCAGGACTAGGGAAGGAAGATTATAGGAATCGAATAAGTATATTGATTTCAAAAAATATATATGACAAAATGTAATCTAGGAAGAGTATTGTAAAGTGACGAATGAAAATAATATAAAAATATTGTTATTGTAATGTTACCTATCAATCTAAGGCTATAGAACCTACTTGACATATAACTTGCAATTTTAATCAAAATACGCATTGAAGGATGTCTATTTGTTATCTCATAAATAGGATCCCATAGTATGTCCCAACAAAATAGAGTAATATATCCATCAGATTCATATCTATCTTGATATTTTCTAAAAAATATAAAAGCATTTCCACTTCATATGAATTATAATAGGTGCTGCATAAAATTTCATAGAAGGAATGTGATAGCGTAGTCCTATAATGCAGGCAATCTTCTCAGTGATAGCAACATTGTAACATATCCCAGTCCCCTTATCCCTAACTTTCTTCATAATGCCGTATCGATGATCCATGCCTTGCAATATGGAAGATGCCACCAACGTGTTTCAAGAATCCAATTGAAACTTGAATCCAAGATGCCTCATAAGAATCAATGTAAATGCAATGACACTAGCACATACAAGTGTTTAAAAAACATATATAATTCCAATAAGTGCATTTATCATAGCAACAAACTAGAAACCTAATTATCGAGCAAGCATTTATAGTTCAGTTATTTAAATGAACAAGAAAATAACTTGTAATCTTACACAAAAAACTAGTATAGATATATTATTTTGAAATAATTTTATCATAAACTTTAAAAAGATATTTCCAGAATCTTATATAATAGTTTTCACTAAAAATCATCATTATAACTGACAATTTTGTGTCACTGCAAAATTTATTAGATTGGTCAGATTAATTTTACTCACATTTCAAGAGAGAAAAAAATATTTGCATTATCCCTAGTCACAATACTTTATAATCGACAGGTAGTTCTATTTCTTCCTTGATAATAATAAGAGAAAGAATAACTAACAATTGGAAACAAAAAAAAATGAAAAGTAATGAAGCTATATCAGGAAAAGCTCAGCAGAACTCAGGGAAGCGATTAAACTAGTGTTAAAGTATGAGAATAGTAATCATCAGCCTGATTCAAAAGGGATAAATGCAAGCCAGAGATAACAAGGCATTGTAAAACGGATTGTTCTAAGATAAAGTAAAGAAATGGATTAAGCCATACCGAACTTCTGATCAAGGACCTTGACGAAAGGAGCGAGGCAGTTGGTAGTGCAGGACGCGTTGCTGATGATAGGCTCATCATGGCTGTAAGCATCCGCATTGACGCCGACGACATAGGTGGGTATATCACCCTTTCCCGGAGCCGTAATCAGAACCTTCTTCGCACCGGCCTGAATGTGCTTACCGGCCCCCTCCCTGTCGACAAACACACCAGTGCCCTCGATGACGATGTCGATGCCGAGAGCCTTCCATGGCAAATTTGCAGGGTTTCGATCAGTGACGACCTGTATTATCTTTCCATCGACCGAGATCGCACGATCGCCGGCGGTCTTAACGTCGGCATCGAAGATGCCGAGCGTGGAATCGTATTTGAGGAGGTGAGACGCTTGCTTCACGCCACCAGTGTCGTTGATGGCCACCACGTCGAGAGGGGAATCCTTGCGCCCGTGCCAGCATCGAAGGAAGTTGCGCCCGATGCGACCGAAGCCATTGATGGCCACCTTCAGCTTCGCTTCCACCACTCCCTTATTATGAACCCCTGCGACGCTTTCCCCTACCTATATTTACATACATATTTGTCTGAGATTTTCAAAAAATAAAAAAAAAATCATTTTTAACTACTTTGGGAATTTAAGAAAAAATTTTGACTACAAATATCCTGAATTAAATTTAAGATGAATATAATTAATATTTTAATTGATTAATTATACATCTTAAAAAATATTATACCCCAAATTTTGTGTAAGAAAATTATATGAACGAAGAATTCAAAATATGAAACATAGCTATGGAAAAATATTTATATTAGCTATTTTTGCATGAATTTTCACTTGATTTATTTTAATAATCTCTTGTCCTATGCATATGAGCTTCATAACATATAGGCAATATATTTATAGACATATTTTATCTTTGAGGCATTTTTCAAATATTTGCATAGCATTATATACACATATATTAATTTTGCAGATTAATGAGATATACGAGTGATAATGATTATAATGAATAATTTAGGCTCTATTAGTGATTAATAGATAGTTGATGATCATTTTAAGTTATTATAAGACGATAAATACTCTCATTTAGATGAGAGTTTAGCCCGTGCGGAGTTCAAACACGTCTGGAGATCAATCCAAAAAGCTACGTCATCCAATTCACTATGCATTGAGTGACATAGCGCATCCGAACTGACCTCTAGACCTATATGAGCACCACATGTAATAATTTTTCCATTTAGAGAGGAGTGAGCATCAATGAAAGGAATTAGCCCCTTCACTCTGTTTTCTCTCTATTTTCATATTTTTTCAACTAACCTTGACTTAGGGAGAATCACAATGGGTGCATATCAATTAACACTCTTCTTCTCAATAAGATCACAAAAAATATACCCAAAGCCAAAAAAAAAAAAAAAGAGAAAAAAAAGATTGTCAATTCGAGATTGTCAGTGACTCCGAAAAATTGAAAGGAAGAAGAGATGAAAACAGGGAGAAAAATATTGTGGATAGGCTAATTCATTCCATTGATGCCTACTACTTCCAAATCAGAAGTACTTATAAACTTACAATAACTCACAATGATCATTAACAATCCATTGATCGTCAATCCAACCCAAATTACCTTATGACAAAAATTAAAAGATAGGTTCTTTATATTTGAAGAAGTAATTTTTTATCAAAATAGTTCTTATGTGATTACAAATCCTACAAGATCAGTGTAGACAGTAAAGAATAGTAAGAAGAAAAAAGAGAAACAGAAGCTAGCGATCCTCACAGCAGCAGCCTTAAAGCCAATGGCAGAGACAAAGTCATCAGTCGAATAAGCCTTCTTCGAGAAAGGCAGAGCAGCGGATCCCCTTAACCCAGAGAACTCCGAGAACCCCTTGCTATTCCCCTGTTCATGTAAACCCTAAACAGTCAATATGAGCCAGAGAGAGAGAGAGAGAGAGAGAGAGAGAGAGAGAGAGAGAGACCTGGAGAGAGGCATTGGCTACTAGGAGAGTAGCCGAAGCCATGAAGGGCCGGCCGTAGGAGATGGAGAAAGAGATGATAGAAGGAAGGAAGAAGAGAGCTTAAAGATGAGAAAGGGAAGAAAGAGAGTGGAAGAAGAGATTGTGGTGATGGTAGTGAGCCATTGATCGAGAGGAGGGGATGGTCTCAGAGTGTTGAGAAGAAACGGATGAGATTTCGGATGAGCCTATCATTGAAACGTATGGCTGCTAATTCTTCTCCATCGTTGTGATCATAAATGGGTTGCTGTGTCTTGTGTTGGGAACTTTTATTGTATTTAGTGAATGTATGCAGAGGAAGGTTCGGTTTTAGACAAAAAAGTGCCTATACCGAGTTTTTTGAAAGTGTACCGAGTACAGGCTCTTTTTTGCCTAAAACCGAACCTTCCTCTGCGTACGTTCACTGGATAGAATAAAAGTTCCTGTGTTGGGCCTCCTTCTCGGGCTTAAAACATTTGTGACTTGACATTCATGATTCTTAATAGTGGTGTAGATATGTATTTGAAGTTTAATTATTTATGTCTATTGAAAAAAATTAAAAAAAAAAGTAGAGGTGAATTGAGATTTTCTAGTTCAATGTGTCGTTATTAATAGATCCTTTTGAGTGTTACGAGATTAGTCCAATTATAAGAGCATTCTCGTGGGTTGTTATAGATCTAAAATGATCTAATTTAGATTTTGTTTGAGACAGCTTTTTCATAGTTTTTAAAATAATTTTTTAGTACAAAAAATTCTAATTAATTTTTTTTTTTTGTATTAGAAAGATGTTTTATAAAGTATTAAGAAAATTATCTCAAAAGAAGACTTAATCTTGATAGGAGCTTCCCTTGATGATATAAATAGGACCTAGAATAATACCAATTCTTATTTTGATTTCATGTGATGTTGTTCTATATTTCTTTGAGATTGGAACTCTTATAACTTGAATAATAAAGATTATAAGTTGTGAGAGAGAAAAGCCTGAAAAATATCATGTTCAACTCACTTCTCTTGTAAATTGCACTGGAAAATTCATGTCATCATCTTATTCTACAATATTCATGGTTGTCACTCTACAATCCTTATTGTGGTTACCAATATATATGTTTTATGATGATTAAAAATAAAAATTAAAAAAATAATATTAATCATATTTATTAATAAAGCATTATAAATATATGACTTTTATTTCAGTAAAAAATTTTAGAATAAAAAGAGTGTTAGCTAAGCACCACCATCTATCATGAGGATTGAGGAATACCTCCAATATCTTTAATGGTAGAATATAAGATCTATTAATGAAGCTATTAACTTCAGTTACATCAATTCAACTATGAGAGAATATTCTACCCCTTTTTTTAGGAACGAGGTATCTACCCACTGTCACCCACCTTAGGAGGCGCTTGGCAGCATAACTAATCCCTCGACAATCTAGCCAGTAATCAACCCCACAGGTGTAGGTCCCGTTGTTATTTCTCCTCACTTAAGGGATCGCGCTGCATTAGAGGGGTTTCAATTATGAGAGAATATTCCACCCTTGAAAGTGGTAGTATTGGATCTCATTTGAGGCCATTCAACTAAAAAAATGGTTTCATTGGGTAATCTAAATGATTAAAATCTTAATTATTTGAGCTAATTTTTACCTCATTTTGATCGCCATAATAGGCTTAAGATAATAAACATCTACTTCAATCCAACAATAACATAATTATCGGCCATTGCTTCTTTGATTAAGTGTTATTGAATATATATTATTTTAATAAAAAATGCTTGGAATTTGAATCCTCTTCAAATATTGTGGTTAACTATTTAAGTAATCCAAATTATTTATATTTATATTGTTGAAATTATTTTTTTTAAATCAAAATTATTATGAAAAAGTGGAATAACATTTATTAAAGGGGCAATAGATTTGAGCTAAATAAATTAGTAGTACGAAAAAAGAAAATAATAAACATTTAGTAGCAAATATTTTCAACTTCAAAAAATTCAGTGTACTGGCGAGAGACCACTTTGGTATTTCTATATAAATATGTTTTTTAACTACTTGATGTGGGACTAAACTCACTATCGCATGTTTTAACAACCTTTCCTCACATGTGATATCACAACACTACTTATCAATCACCCTCTAATAGAGAGATTTTTATACCATCAGATATCGTATACTAAAAGCTCACTCAACTGTATGAAAATATCTTAGAAACTCACAATAATCACAAAGTTATATAAACCACTTAATATTAGTTAAATCTTTGCCTCTAATACACCTTTTTAGAACAAAGGAGAAAAATAGTACTATACACACTTGTTATATAATAAAAAAAATTTAAATTTTAGTATTAAAAAACTGTTTTAAGAAGCAGTAAGAAAGCCATCTCAAACGAAACTTAAATTTAATTTTGAAATATATTTTAACTTAAACGAGTGGTTTGACAAACTTATGATCTGAGCCCGGCTGACTCATACTAGAGCTCATATTATATACGAACTCAAGTACATACTCCAACTCGAATTTATGACTCGATAAGCTCACCTTGTGAGCTTGTTAATAAGTGTCCGAGCTGACTCACGAGCCCCTACTTCCACCTAATCAACCGGAATTTTCCCCCTGTTTTTATCCGTCGGTGGATAAATGTTCCATGAAAATTATTAAGGAAAAAAAGCGCCAATATAAAATAAAGCAGCGTTGATGGCACAGTAAAGAGCTGGCCATCACAGAATATTTGCAAAGCTTCGGCTCAAAGCTTCGGTCTCGTGATTTCGCTCTGAACAACGAGTGGACACTCCCACCTTAACGATTCCCCAGAAATACCTCTCCCCACTCCATACTCTTTCCCCCACTCAATTAAAGATTTTCTTCCTAATCATATTTAAATCGTAATTAATGTCTTAGTAAATCCTAATTATAATTATCCGGATCTTATGATTTATAATTATATTGTATGAACATTCAACATATTTTTAATATAAAAAATATATATATAGTTAAAATATTTAACCTACAAAATAAATATTATAAAAATATTATTATTGGACCACTATTAATATTCCTCACAAATTTATAATTTTATAGAACAATCAAGCAAGCCAGGGGCAGGGGTAGGTGTGCAAAGGAGTCGAGTCGAGCTCGATCCATGAGGTGTTCAAGTCGAGCTCGACTATCAAATGCCGAGCTCGAACTCGATCGAGCTCAAAATCCGAGCTCAAGCTCGACTCGTCTTCATGTCGAGTGGCTCGTTGAGCTGCGTTGTCGAGCTCATAGTCATGTATGTTGTCGGTAATTGTCGTCCTAAGCTCATTCGTCGTCTTTACGAGCTCCGCTGTCAAGATCCATCGTCCGAGCTTGTCGTCCCGAGCGTAGCCGTTGAGTGCTCATCCGTCGTCATCCAGAGCATAACCATCGACCGTCACTGTCCCAAGCTCGTAGTCGCGTCCACCGTTGTCGCCCCCGAGCTCGTAGTCCCGTCCGCCGTCATTTTCCCTCTCGCATTTTGGATTTACCGCTCGGATTTTTGATTTTTCACCCGCGTTCTGGATTTTTCGCCCTCATTTTGGATTTTTCGCCCGCAAGCTCCACCGTCGAGCTGCCGAGTCGAGCAAAGGCCTGCTCGAGCTCGATAAGCCGTAGAGCTTTCGAAATCGTTTTTGAGCTCGACTCGCGACCTCGATAAGCTCAACTCATCGAGCCTATTACTGAATAAAGTTCGAACCAGCTCACGAGTCCCCTCGACTCATTTGCACTCCTAACCAGGGGTCCTTTCAGCAACTATATATCCTGCAGCCAAACGCCACTCCTCCACAATGGCAACCGCCAGCTCAATCGACCACCGGAGCTGGGTAACCACAATCCAAAACGAAGCCGCCAACCCATCCAAAGAACTAAACCTATGGAGAAAACACTCCATCTACCGCGTCCCCTCCTGCATCAAAGACCTAAACCCCAAAGCCTACCGTCCCCAAATCGTCTCCTTCGGTCCTCACCACCACGGCGACCCCGACCTTGCGAGCATGGAAGAGCACAAGCGCCGCGCTCTCCTCCACCTTCTGCGCCGATCCAAGAAGCCGCTGGAAGACTTCGTGGCCGGGATGGAAGAGATTGTGGAGAGATTGCAGAGCTCTTATCAGGGGCTTGAGGATAGGTGGAAGGGGATTGGCGGAGACGAAGAATTTCTGCGGTTGATGGTGGTGGATGGGTGCTTCATGCTGGAGATTCTGCGACTTAATGTTGGACAGTTTGGGGATTATGTTAGTGATGATCCGATATTTAGTAATCACGGGATGTTGCACACTCTTCCTTATATTAAGAGGGATATGCTTATTGTTGAGAATCAATTGCCGTTGCTCGCGCTGGAGAAGTTGGTTTCGATCGAGACAGGCAAACCCGCGGTAAATTCAAAAAACCTGTTTTTTTTTTTTTAATAATCTAAAATCTCTTGGTTAGAAGCATGAATTTTCAATCAAAATAATTTTTTTCCTAGAACCCAGATCAAATAAACCGACTAGTTCTGAAGCTCTGCTCGCCGGAACCACTAGCTCCAACCCCCGGCATCGGCCTCGGTCTCCACCCTCTCGACCTCTACCGCCGCAGCCTCCTCCAACCGCCTTCCTCCCCAACCGACCTCCCACCCCGATTCCGCTCCTCCGACTCCTCCCCCGCAGGCATCATCCGCTCCGCCATCGAGCTCTACGAAGCCGGCATTCGCTTCCGAAAGAGCCACACCAACAGCCTTCTCGACATCCGCTTCCACCACGGCGTCCTCAGCCTTCCCCCCATCGTCGTCGACGACGCCACCCAATACGCCTATCTCAACCTCATGGCCTTCGAACGCCTCCACGTCGGCGCCGGCAGCGAGATCACCTCCTACGTTTTCTTCATGGATAACATAATCGACTCTGCTAAAGACGTCAGTTTGCTTCATTCGAAAGGGATCATACAGAACGCCTTGGGGAGTGATAAGGCGGTGGCGAATCTCTTCAATTCGCTCTCCAAGGACGTCACGCTGGATCCGGATAGTAGCCTCGAGGCCGTGCAGAAGCGGGTAAATGCTTATTGCCAGAAGAGCTGGAATATGTGGAGGGCTAATTTGATACATACTTACTTTAGGAGCCCGTGGGCGTTTCTGTCGCTTGCCGCTGCCATTTTCCTACTCGTGCTTTCGGTTGTTCAGACGGTCTACAGTGTGTTGCCTTATTACCAGAGTGCAGGTTCAGAGGAGGCAGTGGTGGCGACGCCGCCGCCTCCGCCGATGGCTATTCCTCCGGCTCTAACTCCTCGCCGGGGCCATTGAGCTGTTTGGATACCGTATTGTTGCGTTTGGTTGAGATTTTGATGTTTGCGATATACTGATTTGGGCTATTTGTTTTGTTTGTTATTATTGATTTTATTAACATGAAAGTGTTTGATTGATTTTGGTTTGGAGAAGAAATTTGAGGTGTTGTGTTGATTTATGAAAGAAAAGGAGACAGGAGAAGGGAATGGCATGCTTGCTTATGTTTTTGGTTTGAGGAAATTCTTTGTATCGATTTAGATTATTATATTTTTAATATCATTTTAGCTTAAAATTATCAGTGTTCATCACTATTCTCATATCATATTTCTTTAATGATTGTGTTATACTGTTATGAGAAAGTTTTACATTATGGGGTTGGCTTGAAATTATAAAAAAATATAAAATTGGAGGAAGATATTGAACTTGGGATCTTTTAATTATAACATCATAAACTAAAAATTAATGGTAGATGTACATGCATACCACCCTTATATTATTCTATTTACGTTTCTAACATCTAAAAGTTTAATATTACATACATAGCACTCACAGTTTACTTTCATATTAAATGTGACTGATAGAAATAAAATATAAGGGTAGTATAAATAAAATATGAGTGGTATATTTGATATTAAAATAATATAGGGTGATATGTATGTAGTATTAAAATTTTGGATGTTAGATATATAAATATAATGATATAAAATTGTATGCTCATGAACTACGGAAGGTGAATGCTCTAGAGCAATCATCTAAAATTTAGAAAGATTAAAGTTAAGCTTGACTAACATAACCTATAGAGATAGGATATGATTTAAGCTGATTGCTCAAACATAAAAGACTAAGGCTTTGTTTGGGACGGCTTTCTTCCTGCTTCTTAAAGTGATTTTTTAGTACAAAAATTAACTTTTTTTTGTACTAGAAAGTCGGTTTAAGAAGCAGGAAGAAAGTCGTCCTTTGGGACGGCTTTTTTATTGATTTTTAAAGCGGCTTTCAAGTACAAAATTTTAATTTTTATACTAGAAAGCCGCTTTAAGTAGTAAAAATGTCATTCCTAAATGAAGCCTAAGACATGAATCATGTTATGCTAGACTATTAGACCAGATAATTCAATGAGATAAGATGGCCTATATATATAAATTTCAAAGCTAGATTATGATAAGATCACAACATAACATAAGATCAATAATGAAAGAGCAAGATCAAGTAATGATAAGAAGATCAACCAGATCAAATTGAATCCAATAAGATAGATAATTTTCCTACACATATCAAGATTAGGCTAAGATAAGACATTAAACATCATAAAACTAATTGTGGAATACCAAGATTAGGTTGAGATTTAGACTTTATTTGGGACGACTTTTTTATTGCTTTTAAGTTTTTGTACTAAACTCCTTTTAAAAAGCAATAAAAAAGTCTTCCCAAACAAGCCTTAAAAATCCACCGGATCGGCTGGGATTCAGTAGGAGAGGGAACATGCCAATGTATTTCAATGTCAAGTTGAGGTAAGCTAATCTATCACCTAGGATGATTAAGATGGACTGAGCTAACTAACTAAAGGTGTAATAAAGGTGATCTAGGATCACTATGATCATCATCTAAAAGAGAAAAGGATCCATTTAGGTTTCGTTTTGGACGGCTTTCTTACTGCTTCTTAAAGCAACTTTCAAATACAAAAATTTTAATTTTTATTCTAAAAAGCTGCTTTAATAAGTAGTAATAAAGCCGTCCCAAACGAAGCCTTAGTCTAGATTAAGCTTTGCCTAGGATTTACTAAGTTAATCAAATAGGATTATAGTTAACACCAATATTCATTAGTATCAAAACCTAAGAGACACATATATGTCTACTAGGGTCTTTAGAGCTTACACAGGGGCCAACCTATGCCTAAAGATGTTTTAAAATGTTTTAAAAGGGTTTAAAGATGCTCTAAACATTTGAATGAAAAATAATACTCGATATATCATCCCACATATTCTAGAGATTTATTAGAATGAAATAAGCTATGATGCATCGATACTTTTTTTAAAAAGGTGTGCAATATCCAACACGTATCTGATACAACACGCCTCTGACATATTTCGGACACATCGAAAATGTGTCCAATTAAAAAAACTATTAAATACAAATTGAATACGTGTCTTAAATATTTTATAATTTTTTAAATATAATTTATTGTATTTAAAATTTTATTTATTTAAATATATATAAAAAATAAATTTCCTATGTCACATCCACAACAAATCAATTGCTCGCACTCAACATCCCATTCATCGAATATTCTCATTTTCATTTCATTTTGACTGCTGCAACTTTGATTTCACAAGAATATCCTATGTTACTCAACATTAACGTTTGTCTTCATTACAACATCGATATTTCAAAACTATTTCAACATCAAAGTCTAACGTTGTGGTAATATTTATGCTCAACGTTAATAATTTCTACACCCACAACTTGACAAATCATCTTCATCCGACGTCATCTTAATATCAACAACAAACGCCTTCTTAACATTAACACCCAATACTTACTACATAACATCAATATCTGACTCTCGGCATCCTAATATTAATTATTTTAAACACAAATTCTAATTAAATGATTTATTATTTCTATATTTTTTTTAATATTATGCTTATTTAACTTTTATACACTTTAAAATATAAAAATTATAATATCATGTCAAACCCATATCCATGTCTTATATTTTCAATAATTAACATATCCTGTGTTCATACCTTATCCTTGTTCTGTCTATGCATCATAATTAATAAGGTTATCCATTAATTTCCATAATTTTTTTTATTTAAAAAACTTTAAATAAAAAAATTATGAAAAATCCATAAACAAAATAACATAAACTAAAACCTAGCTTAATAATTTTCAAAAGAAGTTTTAATTTTCTGAATTAAAAAATAATAATAAGTTCGTGCAATTTGAACACGGAAACAACAGCAATATAGTATTTGTTAGGACCCGGAGCCACTGGTTACGTAGAATAAATTTTTTGAGCTATAGTATTTCAGTCCTGTTATTCTACAGGAACAGTTAATTAATATTAATGAGCACAGAAATCTGCATGAAATCCACAGAACACAGCGCAAGTTTTTTCCTTATATGCTTATTTGGCATCTTCTGAAGAAGCCACTGCATTTCCCTTTAAAACAAATTAATTCACAGCACATAAGAGAAAGGGCAGCAAGAAATACCTGTGAAGCTTGTGTATTCCTATGATGACCTAGCTGTAAATAAAAATATCAAAAAAAAAAAAAAGATTCACCAGTTCGATATCTATCTGCCCCATTATGTGACAAGAGAAAAACCACCCACTGCAAAAAATACAGAGGGAGTATTAAGCAACAGAAGCACTTGCAGGAGGATGGAGAATACCTCTCTTTCGTAATGAAATAAAGCTTGCGGTGGGCAACTATTTGGCTACCACAAATTTATGCGTGTTTGATAGATAGTTGCCAGCAGAGTAGGGTTCTGCTACCCACTTCTCATTTCAGGAAATTATTGGGTTCGGACACCGGACACAGCTTATCGTTCGGAGACCAATCAAGTGCAGCCACCTTATCCAATACCGAGCAATGCCGAGCTCGGTACCGAGTAGGAGGTGATGCGGCACATTTTATTGGGTTCTGGACGGCGTCTGGTGTCCGAACCCAATAATTTCCCACAAAATCTACACAATCTACTTCCACCATATCCAATAATTTCATTGGGCTCTCATTTCAGTAGGTATAATTGAAACAGAATCTACACAGAGGCCCCCTTTTGAGTGCGTGCAGTCAATTTGTTTCATTGAAAATCTTACTTCCACCATATCCAAACTGCTGATACTGAAGTCACCTACATGATAATCTATCCAAACACCGCGCTTGCTGTTCCAATTTGCCTCATCTTTTTCATATTCATCCAAGAAGCAATCCCGAGATAATCGCTGGCCATCGGAAATGATAATCTCGAAGCGAACGGGTTTTATCTCCCAACCGTGGGTGTGTTCGTAATTACAAACACGGCGCCCGAGTCTCCTAGAAAATCTTCCAAGGTGCAGCCTGAATGACAAGCTGTACATTCCAGCTGGGAAAGGGAAGTTCAAAGATCCATTCACCTCAACCCACCACATTTGCTGCAGATAAGCCACTATTTGAAACCTGGTCCAGTATCAAGGAAGGATGTTTGAGTATGGTATTTATGCTTTCAGTTAAACTCAAAGAAATGAGCTAAAACATAAAACATGTATCAATCAAAATAGAGAATGTTCAGTGTGCATACTACTATCAGAGAAGAGGAAGAAAAACTACGTGGGAGAGCCACATAGAATTCTTCTTTCAAATTGCCATGATAAAGGGAATTTTTAGCATATAGTGAAGTGGTCATCTTTGTGAAACGACAATGAAGATAATCATTCATATTATGATGATTTTGCTACAGTAGCAAAAGTTTCTTAATAATCAATGCCATTTGTTTGTTTGCTAAGAAGAACAACTAATCGTGCTTTATAGCGATCATAGATATCATCAAAGCAAAGTTTGATTGAGTAAACTCACTTGCAATATATGGCTTTAATATTTGGAGGACACTCAATAATCTTCTAAATATGAATGTTTAACTAAAGCATCTTCCCAACAATTATGATTACTTGCTTCTGAATAGCTTGAATGAATAGAAACCAAGACCAAAGTGGTGTGAAAGCCATATCAATTTAGACGATGCGAAATTCTATAAGAACGTCTATGAATGGTGATTCAAATTTCACTTGAGTATCATCAAAGTGAAGTTTGATCGAGCAAAACCACTTAGATCCTATGGCTTTAACATTTTAAGGACACTCGATCATCTTCCAAGTATGATTATCTTCAAGAGCTCAAAGTTATTCAACCATAGCCTCTTTTCAACAATTATGTTTACTTGCTTTTTGAATAGTTTGAAAGAATAGAAATAAAGGCTAATGTGGCGTGAAAGCCATATGAATCTAGAGGATGAGAAAATCCATAAGGATGACTGAGAATAGTTATTGAAATATCATTAATAAGCTTAGGCGATGGATAAACTTGCTCAAGTTCAGGTCGCAGATCTATTTGCATGCGCTTGAATGGTGGATTATGCTCAGGAGCTAGAATTATGGATGCTTTCTTTTGTACACAAATTCATGTTTTGAATCTTTCAATACTAAAATTTTGTTTATTAAAACTAGGAAGAACAGGGAATTTTGACAAAGACTTAACTTTAATATAGAAGAAAAATAGATGCTCAAATAACACAACATGACAAAAGATTATAAATCTTTTAGAGCTTGGATTATAACACATAACCTTTGTGAAAGTTTATGACACACATATGCTAGTAGATTGGTAAAACAAAAACGCAACAAAATGTCTGCAAATTATTGTACTTGCGATGTTTCTAAAAGAGTAAATAATGAGATCAAATTCATATATAAAAGATGATAATCTATTAATTGGATAGGCCGTCTTCTTCAATGCTTCAACCCATAATTTAGGTGGAATTGAAAGCTCAAGTAATGAGGTTCAAATAACATCTAATAGGTCGCATTTTTTCTTTCAACTCCACTATTTTGTTGATGTGTATGGGGGCCAGATCTCTGATAAATAATTCCTTTGTTTTGAAGAAAGTCATGAAATTCAAGTGACATAATTTTACCTCAAAGTTGGATCTCAATATTTTGTTGGATCTCAATATTTTGATGTGGGATGATAAGTCTCAGCATAAGCAATAAATTTTTGAAAAGTTGTGAGTACTAAAGATTTCTAATGAAGAAAATAAATCTAGGTAAAATCACTATAAACATCGATGAATGTTACAAAATATTTATAATTTGCATGCAAAATAATTGAAGTGATACCTCATAAATCTTTATGAATAAAATCAATTTAATTTTCAAAACAACTACTATGTGATGGGAAAATAAGACTCTTGCTCTTTCGTACTTAACATGTTGAGCATTCAAATGAAGAATGATAATTAAATTAATCTTTCTTTTCCAACAAACTAGTTTTATAAATCAGATAAAATACTAGAATTTGGATGACCAAATCATTGCGCCAGAGAACATTAGTTTGATTTAATGCAGTACAAGACAATGAAACATCCTCATGAATGGAAGGATGTAAAGAAATAGTTCTCAAACTTTAAGCGCCTTCATGAGAATTTCCTCATCATCAAACCTTGCACAATACAATTATCACAATAAAATCAAACACCATAATAATAATCAAATAATTTTTCAATTGAGACGATATTAGTAGAGACCATAGAGATATGAGGATATCTGTCATTGAATAATTAATATCTTCAACATCATTGATACATAGTTGACTACCAATGATAATCTAAATAGATGATGATCCATGGTATGATAAGGCTATTATGAAGATGTGAAATATCAACCACATGATTAGAAGCATTTAAATCCACTTAGGAGTAAACTCAGATTTGTCCATAGCTGTTAAACCTATAGCCTAATCAATAACAATTATTTGTCTAGAATTTGGTTGTTGATTCTGAAGACATTTCCGACATTTTTTAAAAATGTGCCCAAATTTCTTATGATAATTGCAAAATTTCTTTTCAGAATTGGCAATAATATGTCTATAACCTTTGCAAGCGAACCAATTGTATATGTTGCATATATTTTTTTTTATTTTCTTATGGCTTGCATATTAAATAATGTTCTTGTGCACTAGATGTTGTTGAAATATACTCTTACAATATAGTTTTTTAAGGCATACATCCACAGAGGGAGAGGGATCATGATTCATCAAATTGAAATGAACAGCCAAAAAATCAAGATAAAGTTTAATCAGGAATTGGTCTTTTTTTTTTTTTTTTTGCTTTGTAAACCTCTTCAATAGCCAAAAGAGATTCAAATGATACTTTAGCATCAATTATATAAATTAATTCGATCCATAAGTTTCAAAACCTAAAGAAGTATTCATTGAGAGGTCTCCTTGAGTGTAATTAGCAATTTCATGCTGTCAGAAAGTCTAGTTGTATTATTTTGATTGTAAACTTTTCGTAAATACTCTCCCATATCTTCTGTTGTCTTAAATGACCTTAGATTGAGAACAATTACCTAATTAACAGACCCTATGATCCACATGATGACTCTTGCATCTTTATTTTGTTATTGAATCAGTTTTAGTGATTTAGATGATGCATAATCACTCTCATCAATGTGTCCCTATAGTGCCTTTCCCATACATAAAAAAAATTGAAATTCTCATGTAGATTAATTTTTACTAGTGAGTCGCAAGCTGAAAACGATCAAATTATTTATTGGTATGTTTGACATATTTTACATGATGTGATGAGGCCTCAACACAATGAGACACAAATATGGGATGATGCGAGCCAAGCATAGTAAGCCAAACAAATAATAAAGCGAGCCAAGCATAGTAAGCCAAACAACGGTGCTCGAAAAAAGAAAAATGCAATAGGGTGAATCACCAGCAACGAATCCTAATCGATGTTCACAGATCGTTGCAGAACTTCACTGGTACCGTAGGTGAATCACTAATGATGAATAAGATCCTCACAAGGTATTTGTGAGAGATGAAAAGCTTAAGTAGTGGCTTAAATACCATGATAATTGAGGTTATGCACAAATTGCTTGCCCTCCTCTAGAGGGCTCAACTCTTTATATAAAAAAATATATATAAATTATATGAGGCAAGAATTTGCACGATTTAATTTGTCCTGCTAACACAAAAAAAATCATAATCTAAGAATATTTCTTTTAATAATAATTAATTATACCTAATGTTAGCCATAATTTACAAGTGATAGTTGATACGGAAATAAATGCTGATAATTGCATATTTTGCATTGATATATCAAATTCTCCAAGGCATCATGCGTATACAAACAAAGTGAGATGAATAAAACAACATGCCAACCATGCCTTCATTCAAGTTTGTACTTCTACTAGTTTAAATGGTTAATATCAAACGATAAGTAGTCTAGGACAATGTGTTTCTTATTAGGCAAGCTGAAGATTATGAATTCAGTGGGTAGGCTAAGTTGAGATTATAAGATGTGATTCCTCACAAACTTAAGCTGAAGATTATGAATTCAATAGGTAAGCTAAGTTGAGAATATAAGATGTGATTCCTCACAAACTTAAGCAAAACTTGCGTATAAATGCATAAATCAACAAATACCCAAAACTTTTAGATCAATTACGTGTAGTGTAAAGCGAAATAGGTGCCAAACAATTTCTCCGTTCTACAAATATTCTACTTTATGGTATTTCCATACTTTTTGTGTGGATGGGATTTGGATCCTCTCCAAATAACATGATAAATTGCACAATGTGTGGTTAACTACCTATCCCTTAGCATCCAAAGTGGACTGGATGGCCAGAATCAACTTTGTGTAACATCAACATCACATTCTGGCTATCTTCAAAATAAATTCCAACCAACACATCGTGTAACGAAGTTAAATTATTAACATTGAGTACCAATATTCTACCATTTCAAAAATGTTGATATCATTAAATTATAGGAGGTTTAGGGTTCAATTTCACATTAGATAGATGAAAAATATATTCCCAACTTCCAAGTAATATAGATTGACTATCAATTGGAAAAAATCATCCAATAGAACAACAAGAAAGAGTAAACGCTATCTTGGTTCACAGTTATTTGTTTAGAACTACAACCCACCCCAATAGCTTTCTTAATATTTACAAGAGAACGTATTATCCATTGGAAGAAGAAATTCACCATATTCAACCTATTAATGTGCTTATTTAGCAGTAAGTTTTCCTGTAGAAACTTAAAGAGAATGTGATCTCACACTCAACCTTTCTTTTTAAAGTTGACCAATGCATGAAAGCATGGAGTTCTTTCCGAGTATGGATAATTACAGAAGCTTGAGTTCAAGTTTTAAGAAGGAAAAATTAAAATCTAAGATTTCCCTCAGCAAGACGAGACACATACAATGAGGTTGATCAAGACGTAAGCCTCAAACAAACAAAAAAACTCATAAATTAAAAATAATTAATAAATATGTAATAAACCATAAACATAAAATATTTTTAAAAGAAAAAAAATATATTTGATTGATATAATTGATAATTAATGTTAAGTGTGGCAGAGATGAGGATGCTCAGGTGGATGAGTGGCTT